AGTCTTGGCCCTGGCGCTTAGATTTAAGGAGTTTTAAAAAACTGCAAACACAGGACTGCAGAGTCAGTGCTGTATCAACAGCAGGAAACACGGAGAGTTCCTGCTAAAGTCCCTTCTTGGCTGGAGGCCATATCACTGGCCAACCCATCTGGGAATGTCCGGTTACATCAATTGCATATGGATGGGATGGCCCAAATCCTATAGCATATCAACATTTCACCTCTTCCCCTCCTCTGCCTCCCTGTCCCTTGTAAGGAACAATCTATTCCATCAATCAGATTAATTATTGATGTTGGTTTGCAAGTAAATCACCTAGTTGCTTTGGAAATCTCTGGATTAGCTACTCTGAAGAAAAGAGATAGGTGACCTGAGAGATGAGTGACAATCTCGGAGAACTGCCTGTAGAATAATTTCAGTTAGGTGGTATGACTTTTAGGAATGGGCCACAGATAGTCCCGCACCTCCACTAACTCTAACTAAGCCATCTTTTCAGCGCAGTAGTTTAGCCCACACACATTTCCACATTAACATAAGTTATGCAGCTGCTCACAGCACTGAGACCAGCTTGAGCATCCTAACATATGCACAGTGCCAGAGAGATTATTTCAGGAGTAGTCTTGTTTTTGAATATCAGTGCTAGTAGTAACGAACCCAGTCTGTGTTTGACAGCTAAAACATGGTGCTTAAAAGTAATGACACACTTTTAAAGGTGTTTTAGTATCTTTCACTGGGAATTCAGTGAATACTGAGTGTTCCTGTTGGGTATACATCAGTAACCACTGCAATGTCTACTCCCTCATGCAGTCTTAGTTTCTGAGAAAAAAGGAGCAAGAGAGCTTCACAAACCACAGGGACTTGTCTTCTGTTGTTTAAAGCTTGCATGATGCAAAGAATAGAGTTCAGTCCTGAGTGTCACAGTCTGTGTGGTGGCGGGGAGGTTAGATGCACCTTGCCAGTAGCTCTGGGTGCAACCCTTGCACTGTCAGATCTCTGATCCACTGGGGAACATCACAGTTGTCTTACACCAGTGTCAGGATGTCAGGTCCAATTAGGCTTAGCATTTGTATTCTCCCTTCAGGACTTTATGGTATGCAGGATATAGAATAAGTTTCTTTAAATTAAAACTTCAGTTATTTTAAAAATAGAAAGATACTATTCACAGAGAAAAACAAAACTCTTCAACAAAACAGCCTCTACAGGACCAAAGATGATCCTATCTCAGTGTTTACCATCATAGTATTAACCTAAGCAAGCCTAAGTTGTTCACTAAGGCATCTATCACTTACTCAGTTCCCTCAAATCACTTACTGGACAAGTGTCCCCTCTGTCTAAGGCAATATATACTTTACAAACTCAACACATATTTTTTTCTTCCTTCTCTTTCCTGACTCATAAGCATGTTCTTGTTCTTCATTGCCTCTTAATAAGCCTTAAATACTTGTGGAGAGAGATTTTGTTCCTTTTTAGTTTGTTGTATTTTACAGTCCCATAGCCAGGCGTATCTATCCATTCATTCAGTAAACATCTCAGTATCCATAAAATACAGGATAGCTATAAATTAGCACAAAGCAACTACACACCTGTAGCATCATGATATTGAAAAATGTCCAGAATCTTGACTGAAGCCATCACAGAATACTAGTCAATGTCCTCACTGTTTTCATTTAGTAGGACTGAGATATTAATAGTGTTAATACAAATAACTCAAAGCATTTGCAAATGAAGGAACTCTTCTTGAAATTAGGTCTGCTGTTCTTGTGGAAACAGTGAAACAATCCGTACAGTTACATATGAGTTTTACCAATTAGGTGCACACTTACACACTTATTTGTGGCAGTAAAAGTCCAAATAACATCCAAGTGCACTGTATATTCCCTCCTTAACAGAACATAAATTGCATGGAATGTAACATACGTGAGCTTCATTTGTGTACCCAGTCCTCAGAAATAGAAGACATGAGCCATCATGCTCACAAGTAATTTAAGCCAGTGTTTTTCAACCACTTGGATTTGGTAACTCTTGAATTTTTTTGTTATAGTGGAAATTTCACAGTTTCTGTGACCTGCAGCAATTTCATATGTCTAACTTGGGATATAGTATATGTGAATCTGCTTTTCTTTTACAAATTCTTTAGAATTTGGAAGTCCTCCATTGAACTCTAGTGGCTGAAAAATACTGATTTAGTAAATTCTTTATCTATTTGTTGGGTCACACTGCCTTTTAAGTGCTACATCATACTCTCCCTTTCTTTCTAGTTCCACTCAATTTTTACTTCTGATCTTAATTAAAAATGCTTTCAATTATTCAGTAGTTTCCTTTCTTTTATTGTGCTTAGTGAATCTAAGTGAAAGAGCTGATACTATTTCGTTACAGTCAAGAAAAAAGTACTTAAAAAGGAGCTTTGTATAAAAATGCACGACAATGAAATCTCCCAGCTCTGAAGCAGCCTCTGTAGTTCTTCTGTTTTGTTTCAGAAAACATTCCCAAAGCTTTCCAAGACTTTTCAAAATCTCCTATGAGGCGTGAAGTTCTAAGCTTTAAAATTAAAGCCGCTAGAGCTGAATTTCCAGTCTTCTAACAATTACTGGGTGTCTTTGTTTTGGGAGAAAGGATAATATTGTGGTTAAGGAACTGGAGGAAGAAGAAAAAAATCCCAAGTGAGTTACTAGTATTATCACCAACCTCCTGTATGACCTTTGACAATGTAGACTGATTTTTTTCTGTTTATCAGAATAAATATAAAAATGGGAATATAAATATAAAATGGGAATAGCAGTATTTTCAAGTGATGTTGTAGGGAGAAGGCATAGTGAGTACAAGGTGCCTGTACAAGAAAGACCCATAAACTGAACATACTCCTCACATTACTAAGGACTAAGTCCCACTAGGCATACAGTAGCCAAAGGCTTCAAAAGGAACTATGTGTAACAGACTCTTTGAAATAGTATCATCTAGGCTAAAGCTCATGTGGACTGCTCTGTTTGAGGGAATAGTGGAAAAGATGGAAAACTCACTCCTGTAAGTAGCGTATTTTGGAGAGAAAAAACCTGACATGAAACGGACATCCATACTTCTAAAGGAGTCATCTCAGGCATATTGGAGATGGACTTTATGTTGCTGGCAATGAAGAATGGCTGCTGGTACAAGCTATGCAAACGTTCCTGAGGCCTGTGTCTATGAGGGTAGCTGGCCATTGCTGAATTGTGTGAAATGACATCTTTACTGGCCTCGGTACTGGAATTAGATAGTCAATGACAACACTGCTAAACCTGCCTATACTGCAAGTCCCTCCTCCAAGTATAGTGCATTTATATGTACATATACACAATATATGTATATACATATATACAATGGGCTTATATATACACTGGGCTCTCTCTGGCTTAACTTCAGCTGCCTACAACTCAGGCATCTATCCAGAGGACACAACCAACGATCTCAAGCAGACTGAATGAACCACACTTTGGAGATTCCAAGCTGAATAGTTGCGTGATACAGTACAAAGCCTTGTTGAGATACTTACACATCAGCCTGTGCCTTTATTTGAAACAAAGTATCTGCAAAAGGACATCTGTGCCAAGAGTATGGAGTTGTCCTGAGACTCTTTACTCAACTTTTCTGGAGTTTCCCACAGGAAAGATGGTTGTCCCTCTAGGTTTCATCACTAGCTTTTCATTAGTTTTTCAAAATGTCCCTTTAAAATGTGATGGAATTTTCATTTGGTCTGTAAGTTTTCTAGTCAAACCTGAAATTAATTTGTATAGCTACTATATTCCACTTCTGTTACATGAACTATTTAATCCTAAAATGGAAATACAGAAATATTTCCTAAACTGGTTTTACTTTAAAGATGTAGACTCAGGGCATATTACAATAAAAATATTGTACGCATACTGTCTATGTCTGTACATTCACATTTATAGGTAACCATATGCTGTACGTAATATTACATGTCCAAGTAGCCACATACACATAGATGAGATACCTCTTACTCTGTTTGGAAGAATGCCCAGCATGATGGGAGAGTCATCCCGAGCAGAGCTCCTAGACACTAACATAGAATTAGGATGTCTGGGGAGCTGGAGCTGGAAGGGGTAAAGAACTGCACTGCTTACTTACTACATTTAGGTAAGCTCTTCTGATTTAATTTGTGTTCTCAGAAAAAGAACTGAATTGTATTCTCTTCATTTTTAAATAAACCACAAATGTTAAGATTAAATATAACCTAAAGAATCATAACTTTTGCTTAATGATTAAACTGTCAAAGTCTGCCTACACAAAGCCGATCAGTTTTAAACTCCCTGCAAACACTAGGCTTAAATTATTTTCAAGACCTATAAAGAGACAACAGAAAACATATACAGCCTGAATTGTTTAAAATGTGGGTTCCCTCTAATTAAATAAGAAACAGCTGTCTTGGGATTTTGGAAGTGGATATAATCTATCCACATTGTGCCTAAATCACTTTGCATCTAGCTTCCAATATTCTGAAATAAAATTCTTGCTTTCTGAAAAGAATTAAATAAGCATGCCACATGAGGTACTTCACCCATCTGAACAGACGGAAAACCTCTTGCTGAAAATAACAGCAAAGACTAGCAATCCTGTGATTTCCAGGATTTAGAGAAGTGTATGAGACACGAGTTTTGCCTTCTAAGCACTCAAAAAAAAAAAAAGTATTTTCAAAATCAGGAATTTGCCACAAATACTTTTAATTAAAGCATTAAAAAAAAAAAAAGGCCGCAGCCGTTATTCAGAGGAACTACACACAGATCCTGAAGGTCATACTCCTGTTACTTCTCTGAGGACCATGAAACCCTGCCCTGCAAGTGCACATGCATACCCACTCCCAGGAGTGGGATTCCACTAGCGAACTGCAGATGTTCACATCAAAGTGACACAACCGAAGCGAGCGCAGAAGAAACTTGTGCCGAAGGGAGACCTGAGCACAGCGAGCAACACGCACAACGCTGCGCTACAAGGTTCAGCGCCTGACTTACTGGTATTATCGAAGGGTATCTGCCTGCACCGGGTGGCGGGCCAGGCGCAGTGGTACACCGCTCCTCCTTCCACTATGTCTGGCTGCGTGGTGTTGGCTTTGGGAGCTCCCACCAGGACGCTGACTCTGCGAAACACACCGGGAAGTCAGGGGGGCGATGAGGACCGACGGGCTGCGGTCCCGGCACAGCGGGCTAGGGGCTGTCGCCCCGGCGACCGGCCCGAGGGCGCCGGGCGGGAC